GCATTGGGTCGGAGGTAGACACGGCAACAAAGAAATAAGGCCGCCAAAAGAGCACACACCGCAACACCATGCCAGCGTAATCACACCAATTAAAAATAAGTAAGTGGGTTAACAGTATTGTGTCCATCAGGTGCGGTTACATAACCAAATCTTACCAATTTTTTGGTTAACGCGCTCATTTCCGTTACCATACGAATGCGTACGACAAGACTTTCGACGGAAATCCAAACGATTTCTGTTTTATTGCATTTCGTCAGCTTACTGTCTGGGGTACGGCCCCACCTGTAAAATCTCCACTACCATCATTCCTGTATGACACGATCTGCAGCCTACGGACAGTTAAGAGGGGTCCTTCACCCTACCGTTGCCTTCCTGAATGACACACAAAAGTGATCTTTCCACTCTCGTATTGTAGAGGAATATGCTATCTGTAAAGTTGATATATGAAGGCACCTAGACGTCCGATTTACACCCACAGTCAGCACTGGTGACCTACAAATCAGGCAAGGTGCGCCATACAGGGAGAGTCGTGCATACGCCTCCCCATTTCCCCGAAGATGGGTAGGCGAAATCACTATTGAGAAAGTCTGAACAAAAATAAACCGCTCCTGGGAGACGCACATGGATGTGAACGGTGGCTGCACAAAATGTCGGATTGACACCACAAGCAAAGACTCGTTCTAATGATAACAGCTTCATCAGCCTTCGTTTTCGCTTCTCGGGTTTTTGGAACCGCATGCTATGCACTTTGGCCGGAGGAACTTAATATAAATCGGTGTCCGAAATGAGGCCACCTACCGCTAACAGAATTTTGCAACAGATGTGAACCGCGGCATATAATTTGAGCAGCACAAACGCCATGGCAGTATGCCATGGGAGTAATCGTGCGATTAGCAAAAAACGCATTTTGTGTGCTTATTTTATCAGAAAGTACACCTGGTCTTCCTTGAGAAGATGGACTGTTCTCGTTTCAGGATGATATTTAAAACGGCCTGTTCCCACTTTTCTGAAGCTTCCAAACTATGGGACGTGTAGTCTGTCTAGAAAAAACACATCTTGTGCCTATTAAGACGCCTCCTGATGCCTACAAAATATCCCAATCTGTATTCACATACATACTTTGAGAACAACGTTAACGGACTAAGTGAAGATTCATACAGACGCTGCAAAATTCGAAGGGTTTAAGGCATTTGGACAGAATGGCTCCGATCCATATGTATTGAATCGTGTTTCTATACAGCAAAGGCATTGCATTTTCTCAAAATCCCCGAACAGTGCTGTCTAAAATAATGCAATGTGTACTTTGACACAGTAAAAGGGGTTGACTAATACAAGAAATAGGTAAAAGAGAACAGTGGCGCTTAATGTTGGCATAGGAAGAGGAGTGAATTTTGCGGGAATATGATTGTAGTCCAGACTGATATTGGCGCGGAGATAAACCACAAGACTAGGGTGATGGCATCGTCTTCAAGGTTTCGAATGCAGCCTTCTCCAGGGATTCTCTGAAAAGTAGGAAAGGCAAACCGTACGAATAAGAAGTAGCTCCTGCAGAAGAGGCAAAACTCAGCACCTGTGTCCTTATTGACAGAAAATTACTGACGCAAAATAAACGGAAATTCGCCGTCGTCGAGAACCCTTCACGTCCACAAAAAGTTGTCTGTTACTGCAACCTCAGAATTCGAACGATCAGTGTTAATTTTAATCAGTGACCAACCTCATGAAATGTTAACTGAAATTTCGAAATATGTTTCCGATTGGGGAGGATTAATTAAGTGGGGCTTTAATAGTGATTGGCGTGTGACATAATGTCTTGATATTTCGGGCATGCCGGAATGCTGGCTTTTAAATGCCCATCTTTTCGGTTGTCTGAAAAAACCACGCTCGGCAAAAAATTACGCGAGTAGTATTAATTTTCCCCATCCATTTTCGATACCCTTATAGATTCAAATACTTCATACTGACCCAACTGTGAAAAACTCGGCGCCTCGGTGGGATTCGAACCCACGCAGTAAGGGGAAGGCTTGTCTCACAGGCCACCGGTAAACAAACGTTCACGAATAAGTGGGTGATTTAACAAGGCAGGTAAATGATTCGGGCGCTTCTCCAGGACTGCCATCTTCGACTGCGCAAATATAACGGGGTTTGCCGTAAGTGGTTGCAACGCGCGGCAAACCCGGAGGTATGTTGCTGCGACAGGTGAATTGCGCGCAAAGAGATGCTAAGCTGGTGGGTAAGGTTGAAAAAAATAAGTCATGAATCTAGGGAGAAAACAGAGCTCAAGTTCAAAGTCTGTCCTCCAGACTGTTGAAACTTGAACAATTGAAAGTACTAGGTTAGTAAGCCTGTTTCAATACCACAAACACCAGTCCGGTCAACGTCGTGGCCACGGCCGAATCGATTCTCTGGCAAGCCGAAGAGTCCAACGAGACAATGCATTGCATCCGGCAGCATGTGACCACCTTAGAGATAGCACACAAAACTACGCGAGCAAGATGGATTCAAGACACTGATAACTGACCCAAAAGGCGTGATACCATTAGCAGACGAAGAGCGTCCCACAAATGTACTGAATAGGCTTAGTAACGCGCAGAAATTCAACACTATTGGAGGAACGGCAAGTGTGCCTCCGATGTGATGATGAACTGACGAGGAAGCTGACAACGTAGCCAGACCTAGAGACAGGCAAAGCAATGAATAAGTTGGTACGACTAGCCATTAAATCCATAGATGCAGCCGTAATAAGCTTTTACAGACTACCCAGAGTACATAAAGCCGCTGTCCCCCTCCGGCAAATTATCGTTGTGCGGCGCACCAATATTTAATCTGTCTGAGTGGCTATTCCGACAACTGAGGCCCCTGGCGGGGGACGAAGCCACAACGGTCCGTTCAACTACTCAGTCCCTGATGTGACTCAAGAAAATTAGACTCAATGCAGACGAGGTCATAGTGTCCTCTGATGCCATCTTTCTCTCTCCACTCCAATCTCGCACGACCGGCGAACTGCTCTAGAACCAATAAAGCGAGACGGGCAAGATAAGGAACGAAGTCATCTTCAAATTTATCCCAAGGTGTGCGTCATACTGGGAGACAATGTGCGAACTGGTCAAAGGGACGCCAGTGGGATCGTCACTCCGGGGCTTCACAAATTCATTTTCAAACACCAGTTTTCGTAGCTTGCAGTCCACGATCTTGGGCTCGATATGTCGACTATGCCTTCGCCATCCCCAGGGGGGAAATAACCACAGAATTATGTGATGTCTGTTTTCCTGGACATCCAGTCTACAAGATTGGCAGAGAGCAACAACCAACTGTCTTTCCTGGCCGTCCTCCAAAAGCCTAAGGTATATGTCGTGACAAGCAACACGCATTAGATTCTAAGCTATCACACCAAACACCCGTTGTGGCATAGACGCAACCGTGTGTCAACTCTCGACAAAAGGACAGACGCACTCTAAAGCGGATCTGGCGATACAAAGCAAGAACCCCGCTACCTCCAGAGCCTCTTTATGGCCATCACATATTCCCACAAGTTACGCGGACGCATCAGGCAGTCTAAACGAAACCGGCATCCAGTGACTGAAAAACCGAAATTCCAACAGAGAGAGTTCCATAGACTGACGACGTTCCTGAGACAGTCGCTCATCCCCTAAAAGCGCTGGCTAATAGAATGACCCACAACCCGGAATCAACCGGTCGACATCTGATCGTGCGACCCAAGGCCACGAGGGAAATGAAAAACGTCATCTAAGCCGTCCAGGGCGACTGCTCCAAAGCTAACCACGACGGACAGACCGAAAAACGACTATACGTTTGCGCAGTGAACGCATTCTCTGTAAGGGGAAGACTGGACAAACTATGGAGATACGTTTGCCTTTCAGAACGTTGCAAACCTAGGTGAAGGGAATAACCCTCGAGACCTGACATAAAAAAAACAACATGGACCGCTGTGTGATTCTTTCTGCAGTATACAAAACCCACCGGGGGTGGCTCAATGACCGGAAGACCAGACGCGAACCAGTGCCAAACACGAACCCAGACCATTAATTTGGCAGCCTGGGCACGCAAGATTAGCGGTCTAGAAGACAGAACGAGGGCGCGACGCGGGCAAACCTATACGTCCCTTGTTTCTGGTCTTTGGGCACGCCCATTCAACTGATCACCGGTTCAATTGAGACGATACGGTGGTGATCGCCATGGCGAACACAAAAGGCGTGTGAACATTCCTCGAAGCTTGGCACTCTGCCACAAACATTATGGGCTGCATTGCAGACCTGGAGGCTTTCTACGAGTCTGCGTTGCACGGCTCATTTACCCTCTGCGCAAATCCTAAAAGTACAGCCGCTAATGCCATCGACCCACTATCCTCCTCTCTCGATGTGCCGAGCCGTAGCTAGTAGCCGCCTACGGCACCTATCGTAGCGCCATACTCACCCCCTCCCACATAAGTCCGTCATGTTGACGTAGTTCCTACGTCCGCAACCCCTATAGTGCGATAGTCTCATTCCGAACTATTCATTTCGCTTGCCAAGGGGTCGGTGTGACCAGCTGACTCGCGAGAGCAACTTCTCTCCGAAGAGCCTCCTCTTGCTTAATTGTATCAGCAAAGAATGTATACTACTTCAAATCCATGACATGCATATAAGGCCTTCAGCAACTCCATGCCTATTGCTTCATTATTGTGTGAAAATTTTCTGCTCCAATTTCCCGCATTTATCGAGATCAGGCTGATTGAAAACGGATTTAGTTGTAGTGGATGACGAAACTACCCGTTCCCCCCTCCCTCTCGAGTGCCAAAGAACGCGCCGACTCTTCTTTAGCGGCGAAATACACCGCAAAAAATCACCGAAATGGGCGGAGTCAGTGATTACTCACTTGATTTCCCCTGTCAGTGAATACGGTTATTGTAGTGTGGTCGCAACATTTGCTACAACTCCGTGAGGCCACTAGAAAGGCCGAATAGAAGTGGTGTCAGTGGGGAATGATAACCTCGATACAGCTTGTCATGCTGCTATGACAACTGCCCGTTCTGGACACCGTGTTTGGCACAGTCAAATAGACGACCACAGCGCCTCACGTGAAACTCCGGGCGGACAAAGGAGAGGCTCGGCCAATGCGCGCTTACACCTAATTCCCCTGGCGGGCAGGAACCAATGGAAACTGGCCTTGTCACCTAATCACTTGCTGGGTGTGGACGCGAGCCACAGTCGAGGTAACGGCCACTATGTGGCGTACTGAAAGCATGGCGCCCGCCGTGTCTCATGTTAGCACGGCAACAGCACAGTGAAGGAACTAGTGGCAAATACGTGTTGTGTGCCACATAAAGCCTGTGGCTATGAACAGAACTGCGGAAACTGACTAGTGGGGAAATGGCACATGTGAACAGCCTTTTAACAGTAAATTAGGTTAGAAAGTAGTTGCATCACAGCACGCTTTTTCACCTGTATAATTAGCCATTGAAGTGGTAGAGGGGCGTTCACCGATCGTTCTTACGGAACTCACTCGTTTCGTTATGCTTTACAGACTCTCTCCCTCGAGCCCAACCGGTAGCCGCACAGCGGCGCATGATATGGGCAGAATGTTATTACCGACAAAGACAGTGGAGACGCGAATGGCCAGTGAAGGTAAACAGCATGAGAAGAATCTGTGTAGTTGCTGTAACTCAAGGTTAACTGGCCTAGCACACGAATATACCCTAACTGGGTAACTACTTAGAGTTGTGTAATCAAAGAAAAGTGCCATTTTTTGACTGCACAACCACCGTTAAAAGCTCCCTACTATGTATAGCAGTCACGAAAGGTAGATTGTTTCGCAAGCCGTCTGCCATTTCAGCCTTGTTAAAGGACTCCTCTTTTTTGGTCCAACGGACAGGTCAACTTGGCTCTGGGACCGATGGCTGATCAAAAAGACTAGCCCAGACAGGACAGTCAAGTTTGCCCGTCTTAAGAATCCGACAGTCTTACATCCGGACTGTTAGAAGGTGCCGTTAAGTTGAAGACGGCTGGAATGTGTGCTGTAATTTCGGTGGGTTGATTCAAACGTCTGAAAGGGTCTATGAAGTGAAACGATAAAGGCAGACCAGTTGGTAGACCGGTGGGAAGAGTATACAGTTTATATATATCGCATCGGCAGTGCTTGACCTAAGGCTTCTGCCAAACCCTACAAAGAGATGGTCATTTGCTGAAAACCATAGTTCAACAACACTGGCGTAAAGAAAAAAACCAGACGTCCAAGCCGCGGTTGGAAAGGCGATCCAACAATGGTGATAGTGGAAGTACTTCTAGAGGAATGACTATGGATTTGACGCCTTGGAAATTGTGCACCTGTAATCGCTGAAAAAGCACACCATCATACCCAAATGGGGTCAAATGCTGTGAACGGGGCAGACTGATTTTTGGAAAAGAACGAAAGAATGACAGTGAGTGAGCTGTGGGATGGAAAAACATCTACGGCCAAATACTCCGTCTATAAGGAGCATGCGTGACACGGGGTTAAATCTAACCCATTGCGCGCGACTCCAGGGATGGCGGTCGACGGAGAATGTGAGAAACGGATGATTTAGAAAGTATGGCGAAAAATGGCATGTGGAGGGCATGACAGACTAGCGTATGCCAATGGCAATGGCTCTAGTCAACCACTTTGAGGACCTAGTCAAGCCCAACCTTGCGTACTTTGCCGACCTCCACAATTGACAGAAGCTCAGTTTTAGTAGTTCAATCTGCAACATGAGCAATAACAGGATGTGCAGTCCGTCTATTGTAAGCGTGAAGAATTGGGGTATATTATTTCCTCTACCTGACCCCCTGAAGGCGACCAAAATGTTGGAAACGACTTCTATTCGTCCAGTAGGGTCGGTGCATTGTCCAAGATGGTGCATGAGGCCACAGTGGACTTGTTTGGGTTAGGCAGGCCTGTGTGGATTAACCTGCCGCGTCGTGGAACACTGCAACCGGCAACTTCTTTGCGAATATCCAGAAAGAAGACGCTGCACACAGCCTTAAATCGCAGACAGAACTTTTTGCAGCAAAAAGAACGCAGTGAATAGCAACGTGAACTGGATGAGTGCCTTCAGCCTGTCTCGAGTGGCTGATTGAGTATCATATGGCACGGAAAGTATTTTTGGCAAGAGGTAACTGTGACGGCCATCTTCACCTGTCAGACACCATGATTTTAGGTGTTCAGAAAATTGGTCAACGAGCAATTGTGTCATGCGTCCGACCACTTGAAACACGGGTGGATGTCCTATCGGTTCCAAGCAGGAATATTCAGGCGCATTGTTTGTTGACCCCGTTTCAAGGGCGCTTGATCCTGTTTCAGTTTATTACTGTCCAGTGAGTATAAGTCAACGCATTCTGGAGAAGACTGGAAAGTGAGAACCATGGCGCAGATGAGGGATGCCGTCTGCATTTTTTCTAGTTTGGAAACATTCCTTCGCCCTCACGTTGATATCCGCGCGAGGGGTATTTGCGAGACCGTTTTGCGGTCTGCAATGTCAGTGCTACTGGGCATCTTCCAACACCTGGTCGTCATATCTGGTTGCCTGAATATAACTGTATTAACGACGATAGAATAGACAAATTTCGCAGCAGGTAAACTCCGTACGACCAAAGTTTCCCGCGCGCGCCTGAGATTCGAGTTCTGCAAGTCGAAAACGGGTAGGTGGGTTGACTTTGGTCAGAGATGTTTGAGTAATGGGTGACGACAAGAAACGGTAGCTTAAGATTGAAAGCGAAAGTTTGTCGCTACGCTCTCAGCAGGCAAGAGCTAGAGCCGAGAGCTTGGCGGCGGTCAGTCTGTCGCTTGAAAATGGATCTCGTTGACCAAGGTGACCTGGAAGCGGAAACTGAGTGTGCGGTCCACAAGCAGGACTGACAGAACAAACATATTCAAGTGTTCGTCAGCTTGGTGTCAGCAAGAAGCGTCATCTGCCATTGTGTCCTGTTATATTCTGCCGTCTCGTGCGAAAAGGCAGCCTCTTCCGAAGACCTCTGCGGGAGACTACAGTCTACGCAATAGAACTATCAATACTACTGACAAAAAAATTGCAGGACAAACGAAGAATAAAGTGGGGGTGGAAGAAACGGGAGGACGGTAAAGCAACCAAAGGGGAGGGGAGGAAGAAGAAGTAGAGGAAGACAGATAAACACGATAAAACTAAAGAAAACGCGAAGGTGGGTAGGTGTGTGAGGCAGAGGAGAGGAGGAAAATAAAAAGACAGAAGTAGGGGCAGTAAATTTTGGCATCAAGTGCTGTGTGAGAGCTCACCTGAAGTCGGGATGGGCAATTTGTATGAGCGCGTGGGCTCGTTGGCGCAGAGACTTGCCGAACAGGTAGGCGATGCCATACTCGGTGACAACATAGTGCACGTGTGCTCGGGTCGCCACAACGGCGCTTCCCTGTCTAAGCACTGGTACAATAGACGACTCGCCGGCGGAGTTCTTGGAGCACATTGTGATGATTGGACGTCCTTGTCCGTCCTCCGAGAGCGACGCCGCACGCGTAAAGTCCAATTGACCTCCAACGCCTGAATGAAAAATTGAATTAGAAACGATACTTGGCGTGGAATGAGGCCAAAAACGACAGCAAAAGCCTGCTCTCTGGATAGAAAATGAATGAGGGGTGAAGGAAGCCGGGCTTTTAGAGCACATTAGTTGACTATTCCAGGAGCATTAGTTCGGTGCGCTGGAAAAGCTTCGAGGAGGGTCATCTAATGGCATAGTGTGATAGTTGTACCTAAACTGGACGCTGTTTCCAGATGGTGAGTTCGAAAGGACCGAGAAAAGTCGTCCATGTCAAAAGTGGATATGATAGTTTGGGAACGTAAACCAAAGAGCAGAAGCCTCGGCATGCACAGATGAGGGCATCTAAACCCGAAACACGGATTCGTTAGCGTCCTACAAATAAGCCTAATAGTCAAGTACAGGTAGGTTTCTGTCTTCTCGTGTATTCAGCTTCGATTTTATTGGGGATTAAACTCTAAACATGCTGAAATGCCTATATTTTGGTTCTTAATAGAGAAAAGAACCTTTTTACGAAAAAATATGAATGGGAACCACGCTTAGTGGAAATAACACGACATAAAACGACGCAACTTGCAAGGGGCGTTTTAATCAAACCAGACAACGTCCATAGTCCATAAGGCAAAAACGTGAGTATCCGGCTACCAAAAAACGCTTGTTAGAGCCTAGGTAACATTAATAAGCAGGCGCGGTCGGTCACAGCGGTTCCGCAGACGAAAGAGGATACACGCAAGGCGCAGACCACGAGACAGTAAGTGTAAACATAGTCCTTCCAGGCAGTGAAGCCCGTGTGGATCCGGCCTTAGTTGTTCGCTAAAAACCCACCGATTAAAAAAGAAGCTTTAAACAAGACACCTGCACGCGTGATCGGTAAGCACAAGCACCGAACAAACAAATACTCCTGTTTGGGCTGACTCAAAGGTTTTCTGCTAATGTGTTGGAGAAAAGCAGATCAGTTGCCTAGGAATGGCGGCATGGTAGGCAGACGTCACAGACCGCCAAAAACTGTTCCGGGCTAGTTCAATCAGTAGCAGAAAGACAGCTAGCCAAAAAACACCATGAATACAACCTGAGTATGGCGGTGCGCAACGAAGCTTCTATGCCTCGTGCCATGAGGGACTCGCAAATTCAATGAGCCTTCTTAAAAAAGCGAAATGGATGTTCTTCAAAAGCGACTGGCAATTGAGGTCCGTAAACCTATTTGAACAAAATGTAATCACTGATTACGTTAAGTCGTCAACTGAGAGCAAAGAAACAAGGGATCATCGCGACTTCGTCAAATTTCACGCAAAATTCGCACATGTTTTGCGACAAGTATCGCAGATAAAAGGCGATTTCGAACGCCAAAAACAAGTGCTCCGGAAGGTCTTCGATGACCACAAATATGTTCGGCTGTTTATCCAGAGTACCCTGACTTATCCCGTGCGCTTGCAAATTTTTGCCGATTCGGTCGGTTTTAAGCACCGAAACTTCCTTATAAAGCGGTCTAAAATGACAATCTTAAGTGTCATCTAAAACTTTCGTCTAAGAAGACTAGTCGAGCACCAGAACATCCTGTCCATTCTGAACTTTCAAAGTCGTACAGGGGTCCATACGTCGCACATTTGGTGTTACAAACTGCCAAAACACGCCGTTTAGGGAAGGCGATGATTAAAAGTGCCTTCAAGCATGATAGTTAAAGCGCGAAATTGTAATGCAAGCTTTTGAGCAGAATCACTTGAAAAATCACCCCTCTAAAAAGCATCAAGCAAAAGGTTCAGGAGCATACCTGTGTAAATAGTCTCTCCAATGCCATCCGCCACGCTCTGACCGGTAAGGTCCATTTCAAAGCACGTGTTTACGGTGGTAACCTTCGGGTTTCGAGCGATAATTTCAGTGGAGTTAACCCACGCTATGTCGTTGAGGGCTGGAAATGAAAATTTGAATTCCAACTGGTAAGTGGAAAGCCGATAATTATTCCAGACATAAAAATGACTGGTGAGTCTTTCCACATCCGCAGCGTAGGCTTCCAATGTAGTCTTAACCGCATATTTAGGTCAAAATCCGAGAGCGCACTCAAAATAAATCTGAATATTAGGGAGATTTGCAGGGCGACGGACAACCTCAATGCGGGGACGCAAGAATCTTGTCTTAGCTAACTCAAATAACGCAACCTACTTTATCCCGGTCTAAGACTGATGTGGAAATCTGTTAAATATCCAGGGCTATATGACACTTACCAACCGTTATTAATGTGACATAGGTGTGCAAATAAAGCCAGACGCTCTGCAGATTCAAAGACCGCTGTTTACAACACTAACAGTAAACTAGTCCACACCAGTTCAGATCTAAAGCAGAACGTGCATATACTTCGAAAGCACACTGACTTCAGTTCCTGCAGTAACTTTCTTTGGTTCAGCATGACGTGAGAGGATTTTTGCGAAGATGTGACATTCGAAGAGATATCACGCCAAATGAGTACATATCGAGCGGCAACGTTGAGAGACCAGATCCGGTCGTCCTCAAACCGGCGAGGTGAGTAGTTTTAAGTAGTGTGGTCAATTAATCCGTTGGCTTGACATCAAATGAGGTTAAGTCAGACGTACAAAACTTTTCACCACATGAAAAAGGAGCAAACAGTGTGTATCTGTCTTAACTAAACGACCGGCGATAAAACTACTTAACGATAATCTAGGACACTTTTATTTAGCTTTAGTCTGAGTGTAATAAGACATCACATGGAAAAGACTCATGTAAGTTCGTTATTGGGAAAAGCGAATACCAAACAAGTCGGCAGCAGTTCTATCATGATCTGGCGTATGGGATTGCTGTAAAAGCAGTAAATATCCAGCGACACCCGGTTGCCGCGTACGAGGAACCGCGGTGAGGATATGAGAGGTAAGAAGAAAATATTAGTAATAATCAAATAATTCCGCTCGGGATTGTGTCAGGCGGTAATTACTGTTTTTAAATGTGACCTAATCGAATGTAAGCTAGTACATGAGTGGATATCAGTCTGTCTGGCGCACGCAAGCGGTTTGTTTAGCTTTGTCAGTTACGCCTTCACACCAAGCTAAGGCAGTTTTGTTTTAGTCTTGTCTTTTGAGTAAGGTGGAATGTGGCACACTCATAGCAAGCCTGGTATACGACAGACATTCACACGCAAGGTGCTACTGCATCCACCTAGTGAGGGTTGTAATGAACGTCGTTGCCTGCAACGTGTGAGCTATCCGATCGAGCTGGTGGATACGATAATATCAGAAATTTATATTGTTTGACACTGAAACTCACATCCGGCATGCACGACAAACCCTTTTAAGAGGCACAAAAAATATGAGTTGTGTTCGAGAGCATAACCAAACAGACAAGTAAATAGAAGCAGGAATGATCAAAACAAGCTACTTACACACAAGTGGATTTTCATTAACGAAATCGAAAACACGTTTCGTTCCTATGCAGTAGCTGGTAACGATGCGTCCTCTTTGCACGGGTTTAAAACGGTTGGTGATGACTCCGAGGTTCACCAGATCAATTATTCCGTCGGCGATTATTTCGGCATGAACACCCAAATCTTTATGACTCCGAAGGCGATAGGTGACTTCATAGGGAATACGACCAAAGCCTTAGTAAGAGAAATAATGAAGTTAACGCGTAGGTCATCCGGCACTGGCAATAGTCCAGTATTAAAACCTCACAAATCAATTAATATCATTCGTCATTAGTGACGTTTAAGCGACGTCGAGAAGCTCAAAGATGGGGTGGGGAGATATGAGTTCGCATGATGATAGATGAACGAGTGATTCGTTTAAATGTTATTCGCGTTAACTGCAAAAACTGCTCTAAAACTATCAAACATACTTGGGGTTAGGCACACCTAACCAGGTCTCACACAGAATCAGAAGTTGCGAGGTGAAGGAAGAAGACTTACCAAGCTGAATTGTGGCGCCATCATCAACAAGGTTGTCAGCTATAATCGAAGCAATTTTTTGCTCCGTTTCATTGGCACTCGGGATGGGCATCTCGCAAAGAGGCTGGTGACCGTGAAAGAGGTAATCCAGACGACTAATATGCACGGTAGAGTCACCGTATGTTACCGGTGCTAGCGGATTAATTTGGCCTATTTGAAGTTAATTGATAATAAACGTGTTTACCTATAATGCGCTTTGCATTTTGAATTGCAGATCTGGCGGAGCCGATCGCACTGCCCAAAGTACAAAATCCATGCTTATCCGGCGGAGACAACATTACTAGGGCATATTCTATATTCACATGCTTTTTGCGATAAAGAATTGGAAGTTCAGAAATCTGTATGGGAATGAAATCGGCCCTTCCGTCATTCAAGGCATCGCGGCAATTTTTGCCTTAAGCATTCAAAAAGAAGATAACCCTTACTAGAATAAGACGTTGAAAGTTTAAAATGACCCTTGGCATCGTCTCGTAGGTAAGCGAGGTCACCAAGAGGAAGATGTTGATAAACCCGAATGTTATTGAGCTTTTTCTCCATAACGTGTTCGTAAAGAGCATTAGTAAGTAATGTTGGGGAGGAAGAAGCTCCCTGGATAAAAACGATTGAATCTAAAGTGTTCAAGTAATTTTAATGATATACCATCCTTTAGCTCGGAGAATAGCTCACTCGGACGGGATGACCATACTGGGTATTTTCCAGGTATTGGAGCAATGGGCTCCTGAAAATTAACATGGGCCTTGCCCACAGAAGCAGCCGACCTGACCGAACTTAGGGCAGACCCAAACCCCCGAAATCTGCGCAGGACAAACATGCTACCAGTTGAAGTGACGCCACTCGGGCATCGCAAAAAAGGATTGAAGATGATTTGTTTAAACAAACCCTATGGATCGAAAGTCCTTAAACGTTAGACAACAAAAACATTCATGCCGCAGAAACAGTGTAACGGTGTCCTTTTCGCAACATGCATCATCCATACAAAACCGAAAGTTACTAACATACAATAGCACAAATAAAATAGTTATCATGTTAAAAGATACGAGAATCAAAGCGAACTTAACACTCATTTAATTGACAAAATATACATAGCAACATTGGTCTTTGACTTTGTAATTGTACACTACATGTTAAAAAATGTTCATATTGGAAATAATTTGAGGTCCTCACCACGGGTTCAACATTACTAAATTAAATTCAACCCCTATAAAAATTTCTGCAGTCTGTACACGGAATGTTTTTAAATAAAAAAAACAGCTCTGAGCTAAGCGACATAAACCTTGTATTGGACGGTCTCGGGAGACTTCAGATAACCCGACCTTCTCAGCTGCAGCATTCGGCAGAAAAAATGCTGCGCTAAATGTTGGGGAAGAGAGAGCACTAGAGAAATTTTTCGTGAATTTATAGCACACATATAGCGCAGGACGACTGGAAGAAAGAAGTCTGCAAACAGACAGAGGGACTACCCTACAGGCTCCGTGTGCAAAAGACAAGGACCTACTGCCTTCATCCGCTGACCCATCTACTGCATTCAGCATACTTCAGTATATAAATAAAAACATTGATTTGTTAAATACCCCTAGGGAATCATCAAAGCAAGCAGAAATAAACTTTCAAGTGAATTTTATGAGGGGTAGCCAAACTCTGTACAGTATTCGGTTCAAACTCATGAAAAACGGTTAGCGGGCAGGGAAAAACTCCTTCTTTCGAAAAAGACAAAAAGAATATAAATTTACTAGCTTTTAAGGAAAAAAATTATCGCTCATGAAATGGTAAATAAGTGGATCGAATAGGACTGGCCTGCACTTGTTAATGCATAAGGGATCCGAAGCGGATATCGTCAAGGCAGAATTAATAAACCGGATTAGGCTGCTAGCGTCAAAGTAGCAAGACAAGGGGAAACCAGACACGATCAATCGCAGTCCGCTTAAAGTCCAACCGAGGAGGGGACATTAAAGGATGAGGCGGTCATCCAAGCCTACGGGGAGATGCGACCCTAAGACCTCTTCTCCGATCAATTAAACCCCTAACAGATGGCAAAAAGGGGGGATTCCGCCGTGGTCTTCAACAGAATTCTTGGGGTCGAAGTGAGCAGATAACATCAAGGACCGCGAAAATCATCGACTGGAGGTTAGAACTCGAAATCTCAGAGGCCAAAGTGGATTCCTGACGGCGGTCTCATTGGAAAATAAAGATCCCACCAAAACCCTTTTTCTTTCAGATATGTATGGCCTAGTAAAGTCGATAAGGGGACGGCAAAGTTCCAGAGTTCCTTATTTAGCTAAGAGCCTTCTATATGGCACTTTATCAAAGGTTTTCTAAGATGGAAATAAATAAAAACCGCAAATAATTAATCATTACGTAGAGCAGTATGCAGATTGCGAAGAACTGATAACTTGATCGGCTATAAAAACGTCACTAATTCACATGGGACTAATTTTTTAAAAGATTTTGTCGAGAAGTGTTTTACTGACACCTCAATAATTCTGAGCGCCAGGTTGACAGCCAGATATAAATACTGGGATAATAACAGAAATTTCCCAATAGCCAGGAAAGTAACCATTCTAGAAAAGGGCTGAAAGGAATCTGTTAAGCAGAGGTGAAAAGCTTCTTAGCTGCTTAATAAGAGAGTTCGGGAAGCTTTCAGTTCCCACTTAGTGCGAGTAAGTAAGCTGGCTTATCCGTTTCTGAATATTTGCAGGAGCAAAATTAATGGTGGTGAGGGAGGCAGCAGGCAACGGGGGAATTAAAGGGATGATGTCGGTTTCGATATCAACCAACGCCATGTTTCCCAACATGGTCTTGTCGGTATAAACTGAGATTACCTACAATGAGCAGCGAGTCGGAAAGTAGAGAATGAACCCAAGGTACTGTGATGCACAAAAAACCTGGGTCAGAATCAAAGGCCACATATCTTAGTTGTCTCATCATTTGCATGACTGATCTCGCGTTGTGTGAAACTATACTGAGCGGATTCCTGATATGCAGGTTTTGCCCATTACTACTTATAAAAAAGAAGAGCTGACGGCGGAAATTTAAGCTGAAGGGAGGAAGTGAAGAGTGGAAAGTAAATTTGCTGCGGTACGAAATTCGTAGAGATAGAATAGAAAAGTTTTATAATAGCGCCCCTTGGCCACTGTCAGTCTCCCTTGAACACAGGAAAAAAACCTAAAACAAACTCATCCATTTCGACTGCACTTTGACGTCGTTTGTTTTGGGTGTCTGTTTAGCCAATGGAGCGTGAATTGAGAATTTGTTTTAAGTTAAACAAACCTGAGTTCCAAGGAAAAATAATTGCAAAATTTTTATGAAAGGACGATATGTACAATATAAAAATTGAAGTGTGCAGTTTGGTAGTTTTTGGGGGGGCATGAATAATATGTTCTTCGTGGAACCGTGGAATAATCTGCCCGAGACGGTCGTCATGTCTCAATCTGTGGCGACATTTAAATGTAGGCTTGACAGACATATGCTACAGCAACAAGTGGACTATGGGACTTTTTAGCCATGTGACCAGTGACATATGTGAATCAATGTCTGCATACACTTACTGCTTCTTCACATTTTTGTGTATTTATCGATTTTTTATGTACAAATAGGGAGTTCAAAGGCGTAAGCCTATTTCCCTCAAATACACTGACTGACTGACTGAAATTGAAGGACTTTGTAGCGGCTAAGCGGTGATGGTGTACGTTCAGTGCGCCACAACTTCAGGCCATATCCCAAGTTGTTAGAAGCAGGACGCCATTTAGGTAGGACACTTTATTCTGTAAGAATAGTGAAGGGGAAAGTTGGCAACCGGACGAGGATGCGTCCGACGCCTCGGAGGCGGCGTCTGCGAGAGCGACGAGCCCTGTGCCGCCGAAGGTGGCCGCTGCAGAAGTGTCGCTGCAGATTGTTTACTCTATTGTTCTGGACTGTTCCCGCCTGTCTTACCAATCAGCGATAGGATTTGCGTTGATTGGCTCCAAGCCCACGCGAAGGTAGTGACAAGCCTCGCGTGGTGCAGGCAGAGAATTTATCGAATGCGTGGTGCAGATAGTGAATTGCAACGAGACAAATCGAAGCCGGGCAGACGTGCGTGCCATAGCAGGCTGTTGTTAGGACGTAGGTGTAGGCGCTAGCGAGAGGCGCGACGTAAGCATTACGGCTGTCCACTACAACATTGGTATCGGCCTGACATTGAAAGTATTTTCCAGTTGGGAAAATTTCGATGTGTTCTAGTTGGTGGTTGTCAGTCTATCTGGCCAGCTGTAAAGGGGCGGTCGCACATTTCCTTCATGTTTTTCAGGAGTCTTGCCATAATTGTCTGGACTACGAGCTGGAAAAGATGAATATATATCAGGAGTAAGAAACATTCAATAGTAAGTCAAAATCAAAGCTGCCAAAATAATATTAAATCGTGTATCATATTTTTCTTGTGAATGTGACATTATAGGAGTAGTGGTCGACTGTCTACTATGATCTAATATAGTTGTATATATGTTTAATATGACTTTATTATAGACTTACGTACAACTAATATGCAGGGTTTTATCGAAAGGGATGTTATTATTAGCTCCTTAAGGGAGATTTAGTGTCGGGTTACGTAGCCGATAGAAACGATAAAGGCAGGAAAGAAAGAATATCAATATCTGTTCTATGTTTATCAATGATGCTATTTTTCATAAATTTGATTGTTTTTAGTGCTACGTTCCGGTATTATACAAGCGGTTGGCATCATCAGAGCCCTTTCGGACCAAAGTCTACATCAAAGAATTGACTTGAAAAATGAAGGTGTATTATTATTTGAAAGGCATTTCTTAGGTTTTATTGTAAACTCGATTAGGGTTTGACTTTTCCGGACAGAACTTGGAAGAGCATTCCAGATAGTGGCATATCGTATGGTGTAGAAATTCGACCGTTGGGACTTTGTGAATTTGGGAATCCTTATAATATCCTCGCTATTTCTGGTGTTTCTAGGGGCGTTTTGGTCGGTAAGGAAATTCATTTTGAGAATATCTCGGTCATGGGTGACCTTGAATAGGAAGTTTAGACCATTTTGGAGTCTTCTGATCCAGAGTGTTCGAAGACCGTATTTATGATAAAGTTCTAAGTATAACCCTGAACTTCTAAACAAAGATCTAGTAAAACGTCTCTGAATGCCTTCTAGTTTCCTTCGGCCTTCTGAGGGCATTACTCCGAAGAAAAGTGAGCAATAATCTAGGAGAGGTAAAACATACATTTTGAAAAGTCGTATTCTTAGTGCATTCAAGGTGAAATTTTACACATGAATCCACACAGGCGTGTTGATTTCGGTGATATTTGTTGGACGTAGGGAGATAAATCAAGGGTATTTGTATAGCTGAGACCGAAATCTTTTGCCGATTGGGCCTTCGTTATTTCATTATCCTCGAAAATTATGGGCGGAAGGTTTTGTGAGCCAAAGATCAGGAGATGGCATTTTTCGGGTGAAAAGGGCATCTGACATTGTCTACTCCATCCGCTGAGTTTTCTGAGATCAGTTTCAATTGTTCTGTGAATATTGGCAACTGTGTTCCCGTTATATGCATATGCAAGTTTAAGGTCGTCCGCATACAAAAACGTCTTAGCCGATACTGATATGGACGATAAGTCGTGAATATATATGAGAAATAGAAGGGGGCATAGGATAGTGCCTTGAAGTACTCCACTGGTAATAGCGGATGGTTCTGAGACTACGTTTCGAATGTGCACCACTTGATATCAGTTTCGAAGATACGCTTTGAGATTTTAGCATCAGAGACTCTTAGGTTGAAGCCGCATGAATAAAGTAAGTGGAAAGCGACATTGATTGAC